AAGAAGACGGAGGATTCAGGATCACGTTGTCTGAGACATTTTTCGTTCCAGATCTTGAATGTGATTTGATGTCTGTTTCAAGGTTGACAGATAAAGGTTTGGACGTCATGTTCACTGGTGAAAGAGGAGTAGTTTTGGATAATGATGAGCTGATCTTTAGAGTAAAGAAGGTTCGGGTATACGTTGTAAATACTGCGGATATAAGAAATAAAAATTTTAACATTGAACAGAAGAATGGATTAGCATGTAGAGCAGTCAACAACATGCAGCTATGGCATCGAAGATTTGGACATGTGAATAAAAGGGATTTGTTGAGAATTCCTTTTCTCAAAAATTTAAAAGAAGAACCAAATAAAGATGATGAGAAATGTGAAGTTTGCATTCAAGGAAAATTCAGTCGCCTAATAGGTAAAATTTCACCACCATCTATATTGGCGGATCATTATTTATTATGACTCTTATTGACGATTACTCTCATTATATCGTTGCCAAATGTTTGAAGACGAAGGATGAGGCGTTTCTTGAATTTGTTAGATTTCATTAGGAAGCGGAAAATCAACAGAAAAAGTTACTGACCATGCAAAGTGACAATGGTGGCGAGTACATATCAAATGTTTCCGAGAAGTACTTGCATGAAAATGCGGAATAAAAGATAGGAGAAGTGCACCAGGTTGTCCGCAGCAAAATGGTCTGGCAGAACGGCAGAACCGCGCGTTCTGGTAGAAATGGCAAGATGCATATGATGTTAGAATCCGGTGTACTCATGAATTTTTGGGCAGAAGCAATTATGACATCAGTTTTTATCAGAAATCGGTGCCCCTCATCTGCAATTGACCTTACGAAATCTGGCACAGTAAGAAATTAAAGTTAGATACAGCAAATTTAATTAAGATTTTTGGTTGCCAAGCATGGGCAAAGAAATCTAAATCAACGAAATTTGAATCAAAAGCTGAAACATGTGTGCTTATTGGATTCGGCGAAAATACGAAGGACGGTTATCGATTATGGAGTTTGAAGCGAAGAAAGGTAATCATCAGGAGAGATGTAATTTTTCAGGAAGAGATTTTTCCATTTAAACAACCTGTATTGAAAGTACCAAGTGAATGTCGAAACCAAACTCAGACATTTAAGATTAACAATTTTGACTGCAATTTCCTAAGCGAGTTAAACAAAAACGAAGGATTGTTTTCTGAAATCTCTACAGATAAAAATTATTCTATTGAAATTGTACCCGAAGGAGAGATGGTTGCTCAAAATCAAGACGTGTTAGATGGAGAGCTGGAAATTCAAAATCAAAAAGCTGTAATAGCAGAAATGATTCATAACCAAGGAGAAGAGCAAACTGAAATCGATAATACTGACGATAAGGACCTGTACAATTAAGAAAATCTAGTAGAGCACCAGTAACAAGAAAATGATGTAAATTGCCATGTTGTATGTTTGCTCTACGATTATGAAGAGAAGATTCCGTCCAGTTATGAGGAAGCTGTGAATGGCTCAAACGCACTTGCATGGGAGGATGCCATTATAATAACGAATTTCGGAATTTAAATTTGCAAGAAACCTGGAAAATTATAAAACGACAACCAGGTGCAAGGGTAATAGCCTGCAAGTGGGTGTTCACAATCAAAAACGGAGATGGAAACATTAAGTAAGTATAAAGCCCGACTTGTTGCACAAGGTTTTCGTCAAACTCACGGAGTAAACTATTTCGAAACTATGAGTCCTGTAGTGGAGCAGAAATCAATCAGACTTCTGACGTATCTAGCTGTACATCATGGATGGAGGTTGGATCATGTAGATATGTAGTCGGAGCGTACCTCAATAGCAGTTTGGATGAGGAAGTATTGATGGAAGTACCTGATGGATTAGAACTCGATAAAGGTACATTCGTTTGTAAACTTAAAAAAAGTCTGTACGGCCTTAAGCAATCAGGTAGAAACTGGTATAATCACGTAACATCCATTATGTTAAGTTTAGATTTTGCCAAATGTATCAGTGAACCTTGCATATTTTTTAAGAAAGACATTATAGTGGCCGTTTGTGTTGACGATTTTTTGGTTTCGGGAATTGAAGAAGAAGTTTTAAAATTTAAAGAAATTATTGGAAAAATTATCAAACTTAAAGATTTAGGTCCCGTAAGATCGTTCATATCAATACAGTTTGATCGACTTAGTGAGAATGTTATAACCATAAATCAGAGTCAGTACAAAATCCATTTTAATGAGTAGTACAATATGTCAGAATCTAAAGGCACTTCTTGTCCACTTCAAGTAGGAGCGCATTTTGAAGGAAAGGCGAAGAAGAAAATTTTGACCGTGAATTGTAGCAAAAGGCGATAGGCTCTCTTCTTTACATCAGCACTTGTACTCGGCCTGACATTGCAAATGCTGTATGTAAATTGAGCCAATGCAACCAGAGACCCACTGTAAGAAATTGGAGAGGTGTTCAAAATGTGTTAAAGTATTTAAAGAAAACAATATAGGTTATAGATTAACTTATAAGAAAAATGGTGTTTTCTCATGTGATAGTGATTCAGACTGGGCTAGTGATAAAAATGATGCAAAATCAATAACTGGTTATGTTTTTAATTTTGGGAATGGAGCAGTTATTTGGAAAAGCCGAAAACAGAAATGCGTAGCCAGTTCATCAACTCATGCAGAGTATATCGCCCTTTATGAGTCAATGTGTCAATGTACAATTTTGTGAGAGAATGTATTAGTAACAGAATGATCAAAGTAGAATATATACCTTCATCAGAAAACCTTGCTGACCTCTTCACGAAGTCCCTGTCGGGGCCCAAAACAGAAATGTTTGCTAAGGCTATAGGTCTACTCTAAGAATCAAGATTTTTTTAAATATGAAATAAGGGGAGGTAATTTGTATTTTCTATTTAAAACTGTATATTTCCTATTTATTGAACTTAGAAGTAAGTTTTGATGTAGTATTCTTTATTTGAATTTATAAATATTTTTAATCGAGGGGAGGTGTTGAAATACGATCATAAAATATTTTATAAATTATAAAGTGTGTAGATGTTAAAAAAAATATATGATGAATATTGAATGACATTTTATGAACTTCTTTATTTTTCTATTTTTGAAGCTCAAGACGTTTTATTAATGTTCTAACATTACCTAATCTTTCAACAGAAGGCTCATCAGTTATGACTTTTCCTCCTCTCTAAAGGTGAGGGTTATCAGAGCTGGGAAAGTTACTTTGATAAAGTAACTAAGTTACTTTCCATAGTTACTTTCCAAAAAGTAACTTAAGTTACTTGAGTAACTAGATACTTCGAAACAAAAGTAACTTAGTTACAGTTACTAGTAACTAAGTTACTTTTAAAAAAGTTCTTTTAAAAAGATACTTTCGAGTTGCTTGCTTCGAATTTCAACAAATAATATTAAAAAACTGAATACTGAATAACCAAAAGTTTTATTTTCATATTATTTCGTTCACAAGCACAACAGTCTCACGTTTACAACTAACAAGGTAAATGGCGAGTTGCAATTTTTTTATAATAAGTATCAGATCACATGAACAAATATCTGCCGATGCGTCGCCGGGCGTCGTGCAGTTGCCGAGTCGCGAATTCGAAAAGTGTACAGATGAGAAATTTTGAGTATATAATTGTACAACGGCGATGGTAGGGTGCATAAATAATTTTATAATAAATAAAAAGTAATTTTTCGGTAGGTAACTAAGTTCTTTTTAGGTAACATAGTTACCAGAAAGTAACTTAGTTACTTTATAAGTAACTAAGTTCCTCTGAATATGGAATAGTTATAAGTTACTTTTAGAAAGTAACTAAGTTACAAGTTACTTTTAGTGTTATTTCAAAAGTAACTAAGTTACAGTAACTTAGTTACTGCAGGTAACTTAGTTACTTGAAAGTAACTTAAATTTTAGTTACTTCCCAGCTCTGCGGGTTAGTAATCGTGCCAAACCTGAGGTGGGGAGTACGTCAGTACAACCACAATATCACCAGCAACTATGCTACAGCATCATCCCCCATGCTACCAAGGTAACCTAGTGGTCAGTGCTTGCTCTAACTCCAGCGTTATAGTAGATCACTCAGGGCGATCTCACCATACCTACTACATGGGGGAGCAGTAACGTCAACCCTAGAGGTAAATCATTATTGACATCTGAAAAGTACTACCTAATCTATAGAGATTCCCAAGAGATCTAGGGACCCGAAGCCAGATTGTGATTGACCTCAGTCTGGCATAATCGAGTACCTCTGACTTATGTACATGAGAACTGCCACGACGCCCTATTAACCATCCCTGGTGGTGGATGGCGCTCGAAAAGCAGAATACTCAGTTGAGTAAACTGTTCAATAAGATAAAGAAGAGCTATAGCCGATTGGGAGGCCTATAAGATAAATCTAAGGCTATATATTGGAGGTATCTACTTTAAGTTTACTTGGAGAGACCCATCAGTTCTTATACTTGGGGATAGCCCGGATTGTGGCCTCTACTGTGCAGCTCTGGAGCATTGCTTGGAACGGGGAGCATCTCGAATTGCAGAGCCTTGGAGAAGGAGACCTGTCAAATTCTGGAGGATTGCTTGGAACAAGGGATATTACGTAGGTATAAAGAACTTTATTGACAACTGTTTGATAATACAATTGAAAAAATTTAAATAAACTCTCAACTTGTCTTCATTATCTAATATACCTATTTAACTCATTTTTGCTAGTGGGTATACTATCGTGTCATAAATCTTGTCTTTCGTTTAGTTTTTATTCATATAATTCTCGAGATAATATTCCTGGGCTTGTACTTCCAAAAATGTTCACAAGATTCTTATTTGGGCACTGATTAACTTTGCTCGTAATTTCTTTAATTTTGGTCCCTAACTCCATAGGCATATAAAATGGCCCATTTCTATATAGTTTTTAAATTCTTTACTTCGGATACGGAAAAAGTATCTACAATTGTAAAATAATGGTCGTAAAACAAAATTTAAATACTTGGACTTTCCCGCCATTTTTTGCCAACGAAAACAACCTATAAAAATAAATACGTCACCAAGAAAACACTTCAAAATGCTACTACTGTGACATGTGTCTTCGACAAATAGATTGTTTATGGTCGATTTAATAAATGTCTGTACGAGAAAAGTACGTATTAACATGATTTTACAGTACGAACTAAAAAATATCGATCTAAATGGCTACTAAAGGCTCTCACTTCCGCCGTTTACAGGAACAGGAAACGAGATACAAAACAGTCATTTTCCTGTTCATTACAGTTCAAAAACAGTTTTTCAAATATTTTATTCTGTTTTTGTTTTGTAACCTCAAACTGTTGACTCTGCTTGGCTACAGTAATGATTGAACCTATTTTAATCATAGTTATCCTTCTTTCAGAAGGTTTAACATAAAATGGATGGCGATGTTAAAAAAACGAAGCTTATACATATTCCAAAGTTTCTATTACCGGAGACTTTAACAACAACAGAAGCCATACCGGTAAGTTACAAAACAACCTACGATCTATTTTGATTTCTTTCTCGCGTGTACAGTTGGACTGCTGTCGACTGAATGTTTCGTCGGTGTCTATTAACGAACTCGGTAAACAGCTGTTACAGGCTTCAATATGTGGTGACGTCGAGGAAATTAAGTTGCTTATGAGTAAAGGGGCGCCTTTCACTGCTGATTGGGTAGTTACAATTTACAGTAAACATAAAAGGAGTTATCCGCCGTCTTATTTTAGTTAGGTACGAGCCCTTTACATTTTGCTGCGCAGAAAAATCACTTGGAAGTTTGTGAGATCTTACTACGAGCTGGGATTTCGAAAGATGCCAGAACTAAAGTTGATAGGACTCCTTTGCATATAGCGGTTTTTGAAGGAAACGTCGAAATTGTTAAATGCCTTCTAAATAGCAAAGCTGATGTTAATTGTAAAGATTTGGTAGGTATTTTTCGAGGGGTTATCCACTATTTTCAGTGTATTTTAAATACAACGGGTACTATTTGACTCGCTGTATTGTCAATAATGTTAATTATCAGTATAGCTATGCTACAGGTACAGTGTACAGCTGGCACTGTTGCCAACTTTATTATTGTTGAAGCTACAAGTTGGTTAAATTAGCATTTCGTCAGTCTCAATGACATCAGAAGAAATTCAAGGATCTTTGGTATCAGGGGATCAGGGGAAAATGAAAACAGTATAACCTTTCTTTTTTAACAAAACCTTTCCTTTTTTACCCAAAATTCAAAGGGCTGTAACTTTTGAACTAGTACCCCAATCTTGGAACTGTTTGAAATTATGGATTCTACAGGCCACATTCTATAAGAAAATTTTTTTTCCGGGTCGATCTGAGACAATTTTTTTTTCGGGGCTCAAAAAAAAGGCAGTGTATAACCTTCCTTTTTTACCAAAAATCGACTACACCAAAATGTCTCGGGAAAACACTTTTTCTTATTAATTTGGGTGCGTAGAATCCAAATCAATTCGTACTTTTTCGATCAGACTTCTCAATCAAAAGTTATAGACTAGAAACCAATTTCGAAAAAAATTCAAAAGGCTTGTAACTTTTGAACTAGTAGCCCAATCTTGGAACTGTTTGAAATTATGGATTCTACAGGCCACAGTCTATAAGAAAATTTGTTTTCCGGGTCGATGTGAGACAATTTTTTTTTCGGGGCTCAAAAAAAGGCAGTGTATAACCTTCCTTTTTTTTACCAAAAATCGACTACACCAAAATTTCTCGGGAAAACACTTTTTACTACACTTTAATGGCCCGTACCCTACGCAATTCCACCTGGCCTGTAAGTACCCAGTCCGCCCCTGATGAAAATAACTCAGTTTTTGAAAAATTGTTTCCAATATGGAAAAACAATGGAAATAGATTTAGGTTTTCATATTAAATACATATTCTTCTTGTATTTTATCCAGGTGTCCCAAGTATATAACATAAAAATTTATTCATTTTAAATGGTTGCTACATATTATTTTTAACATTTACATTCTGGATTACAATAGGGGGGTGGACAGAACTTTTAAGACGTCGCTGATTGGCTATGAGCTCACTACCTTGTCTCTGATTGGTGTGACGTCACTTCCTGGTCCAGATTGATCATCATTGATCAAAAAATTTTATTTATTTAAATATTTGATTGTGAAAGGTGCACATGTACCTATATGCCAGTAATTGCACAAGTGTAGTCTGTTAATGCCTGTAAAATGTACACCAAATGCTACAGTGGATAACCCCTTTGCATTTGCAATAAGTAAATTGCATCTACTTACAAATAATGTAGCTTAATATGACTCCGCTACACTGGGCAGCCCAAAAGTGCCATGCGGAAATAACCGAAATGTTAATTCGTCATGGTGCACAAACTGATGTCTTAAACAAGTTTGATTTAACTCCACTGGACATAGCCTTGCAATGCGATAGGCACGACATTGCGGAAATTATTAATATGACAGTGTACGATCCTGAAGTTGCCGCTCAAAATTTGACCATCGAAATGAGAGAAATGGATAATGCAGACTCGGATGCAGTTTCATTTCAAACAAATTCATTAGACTTGGATAGCGAAACTATACCATTAGGTAGGTAACTATTTTATCCACTATTTAATATCTAATATTATGCTTTTCAGAAACGGTTTTGTTAGAAGGCGATTGTGAAAATTCAACAGAACATGATGAATTACCTGATGGTAGGTTAGTTATTGTTGTCGAGCATTCTTTGAAACCGTTTATTTTTTTTTTAATAAGCATCAAACGCTAGATTCTGATCAGTGCGCTTATCTTTTTAAGGTAGACCCTTTATTGCAACTGTATATCTGCAATTATTGTCGGGAGATAACTTTGATTTTGAGAATTAAAAAAGATTTTCAACTGCAATACTGATGATCTTTTGTGTTTCAGTACCTGACTCAGCTGTATTAGATGACTACACAGAGGAATACACAAATGAAATTCCAGAAAAACAAACTGAAACAACTGAAAATACCTTTTCAGAATCGATTAAACTACTGCAACAACACGGAATTACAATGCTTCCAGCAGACGATGACTCGAACATCCTATCTTCGATATTGGAGACAGGTCATTCAGTTGTGCTGACAGGTATTACGATTCGTCCTAATCTACTTTACTTATATTTATTTAGAGGTGGGGAAAGAGGTACTAAATTCGACAAAACCCCTGACGACTGCAGGGACCGTTAATACTGGAAGTCGATTGGCACCAAAAATTAGAACAATTCCGATCAAACCAAAAAAAGTTATAACCGTAACTCCTCAGGAATTTTTAGCAATGACTTTAAACCACGGCGGTGTAATCAAGCAAGTGAACCGAAAATTGCTTACAAACAACAAAAGCAACACCAAAAGAATAGTCATGCAAAAAAGTAAAGTGGGTCCTATATTAACTAACGTGAATGTATAATTGCCACTTTTTTGATGTTTTTTTTATTTCACTGGATATTTTTAGAAATTCAAATTACAAGATGAAAATTTGTCGGACACCGAACTTTTAATGAGGCAATTAATCGACGCAAGGAAACTCGTGGAAGAATATAAACAAAAATTTCTGAAGAAGGAGGCAGAGGCTGAAAAGTACAAGCAACAGTTGCTTCTTATTGCGCAATCAAAAAGTGAATATTGTTGACTCGATGGCGTTCATTATTTTAGCTGGTTCAGATATGCAATTGACTGTGTATATAGGTTAAAATAAGCCGGTAATTGTATTAAGTCTGTAATTTTGTTTCTTTTATTTATTTTTTATAAGGACGAGTATAATATTGTGATATGGATAAGCGTAATAAATTTTAAGTTTATGCATGTGGTGGTAATGGTATGTGCAGTAGGTGAAAGAAGTTTTGCCCGTTGTGTATTAATGCTTACAACGTTGAGATAATTAATTTTTATATTTAATAAAATATAAAATTTTTTGCTGTTGGCAATTCTCTGGATTTTTAAATCTCCTATGGTAATTTTTAACTAAATGAATATTGTAGCCAATATTCTAGAAATCCAGAGGGACATCTGGTAGGCACCTGGCGCAATCAAGTCTATTGAGCTTTGATTATAAAATACATCAATATTCAAACCTATCGAGATTAGTGGATGTGACGTGTTCTTTTCGGGAAATGTGATCTGCTTATTCGGAAACTCGTCATTTTTTCTAGTACCATTCCGTTTGCTATATAAAGCAAATTGAAGTGTGTTTAATAGCAGTTCCAACATCGAAGCCTAAATGATTATTAGTGAAGTTCGCGCTAGTATGTGATAAATTTACATGATATAAATTTGTGTAAAAGACTACTTATAAATTCCGTAATAATTAATTGTAAATAAATAATCGCATAATTATATTTACGTTACGATATATTTTTTTATTATATTTCACCAGTTCCATGGAATTCGCTAATGTTGAAATCGATTTACCGACTCAACCATCTGCCAGAATACAGCCAATCACATCCCGGTATTCTCAGACTTCGTCAGCATGTGAGTACCCTTAAGAGTCTACTCGGGCGTCCAGCCGACATCAGGGCCTAATTCAAGCATATATATGATCACAATTGAGCAGCATAATCATTTTCTCGTAATAAATTTCTATTGACTTCCAAACTATGTTTATATAGAACCGAGCCACAGTATAATACATTTTACATTAAGCAGTACCTATCTTCTCAGAATTTCGCAAGAACACACAGAAAAGTGTATACGTACTCCTATACCAAAGTAGGTATATCATTTTAGCCCCAATATGGTGACCGGAACCAACGACCAATCAAACGAAATGCCCCGTTGTTGCCACTGTTTTAAATTGAGTCACTGTGGATAAATCTAGAAGGAGAAATTGCTAACTCTAAATAAGTTAAAGCATAAAAAAGAATCTACTATAGCCTTTTGTTTAGTCATTCCATTAATTAATAAACAATGCTATAGATTTCTCACACAGAATGTTACGGGGAGGGGGACTATTCTGCTCGAACCATTCAAACTAATAAGGTCCTGTGGGACTGATGGCCGTTGGCACCGACAAATTTAAGATGAACTTAGCTTAAAATCCATGACGACCGTTGTCTCAATAATCGTTGTCATAGATTTTAAGCGACGCTTGCAAACGGCCATTAATTGTGTTTTAGGAATTGAAACACGAAACACGTTTAAAAATGACATTAATTCTTAGTGCTACATTCTGTGTAGAGGTATCAATCACATGCAGCTCTTAAATTATTATCAATGCAGCGTTGCCAAAGCCTCAGAACTGAGCCTCTATGGTTTTCAGTTGTCAAACATATGTCAATCATCATATCAAATGTCAAATAACTGTGTTTATTTAACAGCCTAGAGCCAAAAAACTGTTTGTAAACTGAATAGTATTTAGGAGATCTCCTGGATTAGTTGATATGATTTGGGAGAAAGAGTTATTGCCTTCAATGACTAATAATTCTAGTTTAATTGGTGATAAAAATATTAATAGTGTTGACGCTCGTTCATGCAATAAACCCACCAGTAGGGTAAGAGCAATAATTATTTCAATTTACTTATCTATGGTTATGCTTTTGAAATGCTTTTTGTACTTCCCGTGTGAAGTGGTTGCGTCATATACTACTTTCGGGATGTGAAAACATGTATCTTCGCATAGCTACATTAATATTCCATTCACTTTATCCATTTGTCGGATTATGCGTATGGAATCGTGCTTGTATGTTTTATATATATAAATAATTATTGGTTTGTTCTTTACTTTTCTTAAATGTAGCAGTACAGCGGAAAAAAAAATGCTACTCACTACAGTATATACCTACTTTTACGGGCCACTTACCATTTTCTAGGAAATTTGTCCGATCGGTATTCTCACACGTTGTGTGCAGGTACACCATCCTGTTGAAACAGTACTGACTTAATTTGAAACAGACCTTCAAACATTGATCTTTGAAAGCTGAACATTTTTAATAAATCACACCTTTGTCTCTTCTTTTCTACAAGACAACAACAGAAAATAAATTTCCCAATTTATAAAAATAAGTAACAGTTGTAACCCTACATTGTCATCCCCTCAAAATGTGTTTATATTTACTTTTGAGTAGTCATACTGAATGCTAGAACAAGTTACGAAAGACTTTCATACCTATAGTTCAGCCAGTTTTTTATTTGTCATCGCCCAGAATACCATTTTTGCTTTGATCCACCGCGTATCACTTTTCACTTGTGAGTACTCTGGTCCGATTCTCCCTCCTTCTGCACTTCCCCCAATTCTGCAATATTTTTAAATTTTTCCAAAACGTTTCAAAAAACAGTTTTCAAATTGCTACACATTTTCGCTACAATGCCCTACATATTTCCATCATTTCTGAAAATATTCCTTCATTAAATGTTCATTAAATAATCTACCTCAAGTAAAAAAGTTATCTGACGTAACGTCTTTTTTGAATGGAACACTGTATATTTTATTCTAAAAAGATAGCATATTAAATTTCCTTTTTAAAAATATAACATAAAAAATCAATATTGGTTCAAAATATTTAAAAAAGATTTTTAATCATTTAATTAAAACATTTTAAAAATTAAAAATGTAGTTTTTGAATCATTTGAACCTTTTTTAATTTTTTTAAAATCTTTTTGAATCTTAAACTTTTTTGAATCACTTGAATCTTTTTTTAATATCATCTTTATCTCTATTGTGTTTGAAAAGAGAATTAATATGCTATTTTTTAGATTAAAATATACAGGATATTCCATTTAAAAAATGAAATGATTCGATAACTTTTTTACCTGAGTCGTATGCTTCTTTTGAAAACGGCAAATTATTCACAATCCTCATCACAATCATTATCATTATGTTGTGTTGTGCGTATAATGGAGGTTATTCAACATATATGACCAATAAAACATGTAATCTTGAATGTATATTAGTATGATTTAATGGCAATCGCATTTTTAGTAAATCATTAAATGCATGCTATTACTTACTGGGCCAAATTTGACCCTGGATTTAACTTGAGCCTCGAATAGGGGAAACATTTAATAGGCTATACAGACAGGCATTACGATCTCATAAAGTATAATCAAGCTAAACCTTTTGTAAGGTAATTTCATAAAAAATTTTTAAAATCGTATATCTAAACGTTTTTCTCGTAATAAAAACATTTTCAACTCATTTGTAGCAGATAGTGTATAAATTACTATTAATTACTTAGTCTTACTCTAGCATTCTCATAATTTCTATTGGAAAGTAAACATACATAATTATCAAGATAATTATCTCATAGAGAAAGGGAAATTCTTGCACTCTATTACTCGAAATGGATAACGTTATTTAGATTGCGTCGTCACTCATTAGTAAATCGACTTGAAAAGTTTGTGCTTATTTGTCTTATACAAATGTGTATTATGTTTTATTTATCGCACCTTTCATTTCTTTTCATTTTTGGTGTTTTGCAGTTGTAAATGTCTTCTCTGTATTGCATGAGGCTGAAGTGGTGCTTGTATAGGCAGTAATTTGGATTAAGATGAAAAATACGCAGGTAAGACATTTTTTTAAATTTTACTTTGCATATCTGGTAGTGTCTGTACATACAGGGTGTTACAAATTCGATGCATTAGGGAGTTCGTTAAATGGTTTTTTATGTAAGAAATTTAATACAAAAGTCTTTGCTAGTTTAAAGTTTTAAGTTACAAAACTAGGCATTTTTTAATTAATCACAAGAGAATTTTTTTGCTTTTTTCTTCTTTTTCGGGTATCTCCGGTAGTAACTTTTATAATTTCTTGTTCACAAATTAGTCAGCAATTCGTATACTTCGAATTTGTAACACCCTGTATATTAGTATTTTACGTTTAATTTTTTCTATTTTTTTGTTTCACTTTTATTAGTTAAGTAGGTAGTTTTGCACCCTTTGTGAGAGTAGTGCAAGGTTCATTTTCACTCTTGCGTTTACTACTTAAGTTTTTGGGAGTGATTTATACAACAACAATAATTTATCAATACTCGAGTGTAGCTATTATCCATATTTTTCAATTTTGATCTTATAATTAAAAGATCAAGAACAGTTGGGACCATTTACAATAACGAAGTGGGTGTCACCTACTGATTAAACTATACAGGGTCCTGCAACAGTGCGTCAATCTTTCCTAGCTTGGTAAAAATTATCAGAAAACCATTTGTGCAAATGTCAACCATAGATGGTTGCCCATGTATAGAAATTATTTTTGAATGTACAGGGTGTCCCATTTTTATGGTGTCAATAGACAACTGATTTTTTTAATGGAACACCCTGTATATTTGTAGTAGTTTTGATGTTATTTTTTAACTTCTGCATGGAAACCTGTTCAGTTTTTGGTTTTTTGTCAATGTTACCAAATTATTAATTTTTTCTGAATAATTGCCCATAAACAAGCCCTACTTTCATAAATCGTAGCGACCTTGATTTTAAAATTAAGAAATACAGTTGATCAATAATGAATAAAAAGGAAACAGTTTGATAATGAGAAAATTGGATTTAGTGATACAGGGCGTTCACAAAAAATAGTAAAGTTTTCAAAGTGTCAACTATTTTTTTCAAATGGAACGGAAAAAATTGAATATGATAATTGTTAAGTGTTATAATGTTTTAGTTATGGTTTCGTGGTGTACGTACATCAAAGTTTCGACATGTATATGGAGAGCCAGCAAAACGCGAAAAATGTTACGACAACATCACAATTACAAAAAACGCGCATGATTCTCAATTTTGTGCGGTAAATCCCAAATTTCTTGCTGTCGTCACAGAAGTAGCAGGCGGGGGTGCATTTGTTGTTCTTCCGATAGACAACGTACGTATCAAATTTACCGCTTAATTTATTTACTTATGTTAAACGTAACAGACGGGAAGGTTGGATTTTAATTCCTTTCGAGTAACCGGCCATCGCGGACCGGTGTTGGATATAAAATGGGACCCCTTTAATGACAACATTATTGCATCCTGTTCGGATGATGGCACTGTAAGTTTCTATTTTAGTTACATGCAACAATTTCATTTGATAAAGTAGGTGAAACTTTGGCACATTCCTGATGGAGGATTAGGGACGCATCTTACGGATTGGCTCCTGGAATTGGTTGGCCATAAACGCAGAGTTGCGTATATTGAATGGCATCCAACTGCTGAAAATATCCTTTTTAGTGTTGGCTTTGACCACTTGGTAAGCATATCAACTTTCAATTGTCACTTATCTAAAAAAAAGAAAATTTCTTGACTAAAAATTTACTAAGTACACAAAGATATGTTAATTATTAGTCCAGTCAATGAGTGCTCAAGAGAGAGGAGAATAAACCACACATCCTCAAGATAACTCTTTTTAGACTTACCATTGACAATTATTTCAATGTTGACAATGCCCTTGGTCCTTTCCGACTTGAACATACTTTTCTGGCAAAAACACCTTAGAAGGTAACCAATTACAGTTCATGGTTATGCCTTATGCGCTGCATCTGCAATCCAAACATTGAAGGAAATCGACAGATTCTCAGACTTCTACTTCTTACAGTTCCGCTTATAATGGCCTATCTGGTCACATTTGTAACATGTTGAGACAGAATTCTTTGTCTTGTCGCCACTCCCGCCTCCCTTACCGTGACCATTCCCCTACTTGGATATGTTGGACTTATTTTTACTGACAAAATTGACAGCATCCTCAGTAAAACTCATTGACTGGACTATACAGGGTGTTTTTTTGGGAGCTTTAGTTGAACGTATCTGGGAAAGTAAAATAGGTAGGTTTTTGAAAATTTGAACTTAGGAGTTAGTCTGAAGGCCGAATCGATGTAAAATATTTTCAAAATGGCCGCACTTCCGGAAACACCGGAAGTAGATAGTAACTTCGTTATTTTAAATGGCAACCCCTATTTGTTATTGCATTTTTGGATTCTACGTGAAATTTCAATTCTTTTGATACCCATATGTCGATATCTGCCATTTATGGTTTTTAAGTTATTTTGACTTTAAGAAAAAAAATGGTGGATGCAGACGGTACCTTGATAATTGATTACTTGAAAACGGTTGTAGTCATGGCAACCCATTTTTATCAGTGCATAGAGAATGAATAGGGCTTTCTTTTAGTGTACTTAAAAAAAAGTTAAGTTGCGTACAACCGCACCTATGGAGATCCAAATTTAAGAAACTTTAAAGTCTATAAACTCAATTTTTTTAAATGGAATGACCCTGTTCTTATTATTGCATGAGATAGAAAATCGAAATTGGCATATTTTGATATTACATATTCCTATAGCTATCTTTAACAGTTTCTGATTTATTCCCATTTCATTGAATTGATCTAGGAATTGATGCGATTTTTTCGCATTTTCTTTTTAGTAGTTGGCCATGATTTTATAACAATCGAATTTTAAACAAATCAAGGAATGGATTCGTTAATATCATTGATTCTAGTCTAAATAATTCATTAATAAATAAGTTTTTTGTTAAGGATATAGGACGGAAAATTTTTGAAAAATCTAGACAAGAGTCGTTCAACTGAATTTCTTAAACAACGTATAAGTCTGGAAATTAAGAGAGATAATGCGATATCTGTTCTAACAACAATTCCATACCAAAAATGTTTCAACGAAGTTTTTTATATATTTTTTTATTTTTTATTTTTATATTTTGCAATTTATTTTGTTAATCTTGCATTTGCAATTCAATTCATTTTCTTAAATATTCTCTTGTAGAGCTTTGTATCACTTGTGCTTCAACGGTTTGTAGTGCATTTGGGGGTACAGCATTTCCAAAATTCATACAATTTCGTTTCAGTGTTCGAATGAATGTACGGCAAGCACGTGCCGCGATTCTGTTCATTTCACCATAAATAACAATTATTTTCCAAAATAGGTGAAACCACTCCGAGTCATTTGCGATTTTTGAAAAACTTATGTTCACCTATAACAGTAGGTGACGGATTGGTGTCACTAGATTTGTTTAAAATTCGATTGTTATAAAATCATGGCCGACTACTAAAAACAAAATCCGAAAAAAATAGTGTCAATTCAATAAAATGGGAATAAGTCAGAAACTGTTAAAGATAGCTATAGGAACATGTAATATCAAAATATGCCAATTTCGATTCTCTATCTCATGCAATAGTAAGAACAGGGTCATTCCATTAAAAAAAACTGAGTTTATCTAAATCTTTGTTGTCCTGCTAAATCTTTGTTGTCCTTTTCTATTGCCGTATTTCACTTACCTAATGAACAGTTGCTTAAGATCCGATGCATTTCCAGTTGACTGGAAATTAGCAAATATTACACCTCTCCCTAAAAACAAGAAACCAACTACCTTCAATGATTTGAGACCAATAAGTATCCTACCTGTCTTATCGAAAGTCTTAGAAAAACTCATGAGTATGCAGATAAACGAATACTTAGTTGAAGAATCTCTTTTATCGGATACTCAGTCTGCTTTTAAAGCTGGTTACAGCTGTACTACTGCACTGTTAAATGTTACCGATGAATATTCACTAGTGTAGATCGTGGAAATCTTTTAGCGCTAGTGCTTCTTGACTTCTTTGTCTGTTTTGTTCAACCGTCATTTCCATATATATGTTAATCATACGCTTCACATCATCATTATATAGTTAGTTTCATTCCACTTTGTTGTTGAGTTAATTAAATTGGAGGGGTTAAGTGGAAGAGCAGATGTGTGGTCATGTACCCCATCTGAACTGCGCCCCATTGGATTGTGTCAAAATTATGTCTTTTCTTTTCCTTTTATTATGTTTTATATATATTTTATACACTATCCAATAAAAGACAATTTATTATTATTATTATTATAGACTTTAACGTTTCTTAAATTTGGATCTCCATAGGTGCGGTTGTACGCAACTTAACTTCTTGTTAAGTACACTAAAAGAAAGCCCTATTCATTCTCTATGCACTGATAAAAATGGGTTGCCATGACTACAACCGTTTTCAAGTAATCAATTACCAAGGCACCGTCTGCATCCGCCATTTTTTTTCTTAAAGTCAAAATAAATTAAAAACCATAAATGGCAGATATCGACATATGGGTATCAAAAGGATTGAAATTTCACGTAGAATCCAAAAATGCAATAACAAATAGGGGTTGCCATTTAAAATAATTTAAGTTACTATCTACTTCCGGTGTTTCCGGAAGTGCGGCCATTTTGAAAATATTTACATCGATTCGGCCTTCAGAGTAACTCCTAAGTTCAAATTTTCAAAAACCTACCTATTTTACTTTCCCAGAAACGTTTAACCAAAGCTCCCAAAAAACACCCTGTATGTAATCATAGAGAAAATGCCTGAACTTTAAATGATCTTATATAAAAAATGCTTTATTTGAACAAATTTTAAAAATCATTTCTGTTTAATTCTTTAATAGTTTTTTTTGTGTTTTAGATCATCGTCTGGGATATTGAAAAGGGCGAAGCTATCAACGTTTTAGATTTACATTCCGATGTAATTTATTCCATGTCAATAAACAGAGATGGCAGTTTATTAGCAACCACGTGTAAAGATAAGAAATTGCGTATTATTGAACCACGAAGTGGAATTGTAAAATTGGTTAGTATGTGCACCAGAGAGTGTCATTGTATAAGAAAAAAATATTAAGCAATTAATTCGTTTCCCTAAAACTAGCTTTCAAAAATAAAAAATTTTTTGGTTTTTGAAAAATGTTGAGAAATCGGATTTTTCGATTTTACTTACTATTTTTGTCTGGTATCAATAGTTGACCTAAAGCAAAACCAATGACACAAATATTAACACCAGAAACAATAGTTCGAAAAATCCGATTTTTTCCAAATATTTCAAAAACCAAGACATATTTCAGGGATATCTTCGTAGACCGAGGGGGAAACCACTTCCTTAAAATTTGTACACCAGATTGAAAATGGAAATAATGAGAGGATTGAAGTGTGTAATGAAAGATTGAAATAATAATGAAAGAATGAAATCGTAAGAATTGAAAATGAACTATTCGTTTTTGTAAATAATGAAACCGTTAATGAAAAATATTTATAACCGTAATAAGAAAAATGAGGAAATGAAAAATAAATGAAGAGAATTAATAGAATGAAAAAGAATTAATCTTAGAATTAATAGAATGAAAAGAGAATGAACAGATTGAAAGTAATGAAACTGATAATGATAATATTGAAAGATTGAAAATGGAATGAAACTGGAATGAAAAATTCATGTACACCAAATTGAAAGAGTGGTTTCCCCCTCGTCGTAGACCTTTCTCCCATTTAACCAAACTCTTTCTAGAATACCCATTGTGGCAATTGATTTGACAGTAAAGTACCACAGTTTTGTATATCATATTTTAATTTTTTATTTTATTGTAGGAAGGTGTATGTCATGCAGGTTCAAAAGCAAGCAAAGTCGCCTTTTTAAACGGCGGAAAACTAATAACAACTGGATTTTCCAGACATTCTGATAGACAGTACTCTATTTGGGACGAAAATGATCTATCACAACCTTTAGTAACGGATACAATTGACAGTTCATCCGGTGTAGTATTTCCATTTTATGATCCCGATACAAATATTGTTTTTCTTGCTGGAAAAGGTGACGGTAATATTAGATATTACGAGATTGTCGACGAGCATCCTTACGTGCATTTTCTAAGTCAATTTTTGTCGGGAAATCCACAAGTAACATATTACTATTCGTTAAACTGGTTGTTATAGAATATTTTCCAGAGAGGATTGGGTGTTATGCCGAAAAGGGGTTTGAATACAAGTGTTTGTGAAATTTATAAGTTTTACAAACTGCACACGAGTAGAAACATATGTGAACCTATCAGTATGATAGTTCCAAGAAAAAGCGACCACTTCCACGAAGATCTGTACCCAGACACTGCAGCTGCTAAACCAGCCTTGACCGCTCAGGAGTGGATAAACGGTCGGAACTCCATGCCCATTCTAATGTCGTTAAGATCAGGTAAGTCCGTCACAAATAGTACACTTCTTCATATCGTTGATTTTAGGTGCAAATATCGATCTTCCAACTAAACCTGTAGCACTTACGTTAAAGACAACGCCACTTCTCTCCCAGGAAAATAATAAGAAGAAGTTCGCGTTTTTATCGACAACTACCACACCAGACTATAGATCCAAAGATGAGATTTTATCTTATTTGGAAAAAAGTCAAAAAACCACCAATAACCAACATACGAGAATTCAGCAACTGCAACAGAAGATTAATAACTGTACAATTGCAAGAGACGATGACCTAATTTTAAAGCAATTAACGAATTATAACAATATTAATATAGATGAGGTAAAGTTTGTTAACATTACATTTATTGCATTGACCTGTTGCAAAAGTGGGATGTTTTTTGACAAGCTTTAGGATCCGATTCTGACTATTTTGCATAACATAGCATTGCGCTATTGCACTAGGTTAATTACTAACGTATCAAGTTGCCTTATCCTTTATGTGTTTCAATTAAATTGCTACATGCTTATCGCTTTGGACAGATAAGCCTTTTCAAATTTAATTGTCATTACCATTCAATCGAGGGTTCAGTGTAACTGCTTAGGTGAAAATTTACCTAGGGTGCCTCTTGCCATCTTAATAAGACTCCGCTATTCATTTGTCAAAAAATGCTAATTGCGCATTTTTCTTATGTTACAGTTAAGGAAAGCGTTCCTAAGACAATCGGAAGAGTTGCGTATGGTTCGTATGCAACTACTCAACAGTGAAAGTAAAGTAAAAGAATTAGAGGACCATGTGCGACGACTAGAAAGACAGATAAGTTTGTAATACACTCTGCATATAAAAAAACAAGTACGGAAAATACTGTTCCTTAATTTTACAATGTTAATAGTATTATTGTTTAACAAGGCATAAATAATTGTACGTTTAGTAAGGATGGATGAGGGGTACATGCTTTGCAACCCAAGTCGCCCAGGTGACCCTTACTTAACAAAAGAAATTTTAATTATGCTTTGGTAGTATTATGCAGCCAACCAGGATGTTTTTTGCACCTGGATGGTTATATCATGCTTTATGGCTGAAAATGCGGGCTACGAATACTGTCGAACAATTAGAAAATATTCAAGCTTCAATGAAGTGAAATGTTTGTTTTGCTTGCTTCTGAAATCGTAACAATGTGCAAATTTGTTTATTTTTATGTACAATCACATTCCTCACCAATTTTTGGTTGTGGTATTTACATGACCTAGTTGACAGCTTTCTAGCTTCTTGGATACCTATAAATGCTGTGAACCAAAGTATAATCAAACATTGGAAAAACGCAGGGAGAAATGTAAGGACCAAATTGACAAAGATGTGCACTAGTCTACACAGTAATGTGTACCTATCAATAAGTGAGATCACTATCAAAACATGTCATTTGCTTTGACTACAATACGTGGCAGGATGATTCCACACCCACCCACTGGGACACAGCTATTAAAAATCTAATTGTTACAAGTTGTGTAATTGTTTTGTACTAATTCGATATTATTAAACAGAGTGTAACACATAAGTAAATATATAAATAAATCAAGGGTACAAAAGTATACTACATTTTATTGCAACAGGAACCTTTAATTTTATTTCACTACAGAACAAAATGATTTAGGTACTTTCCACTTATATCGCTCGATATTTGGGAAAAGTGCTACACAAAAAAATAACAGAACTGTGCTTTCAGTGATCCTTTACCATAATCACTATGACAATTGTGTCAAAGCAGTGTTTGTGTAACTTTTAGTTTCAGAAGGAAATTTTGATCGGTCACAAAATCGGCACCTGCAGCAAAAAAATTAGTAATTATGTATGTGGCGACGTGCCGCATGCATATCGGGCAACTAAAACCTGCTGCACCCTCATTGGTCAAAACGACCAACCGATGGAGCTCCAAACTCTGCAAAGGAAATTCCTGCTTTGACGGCGCTTCAAGAAACAACCACCTCTCCACCTGCAGAGCCAAGTTCACTTTACCAGCTCGACCTCGCGCCACGCTCCATCAGTCAGAAGACTCGCATCCGCGCTCAACGCGTGCACTTCGGCTACCATTTCGTATGTATTGTAAATAGTTACAATATTCCATAAACCTCAACAGCATTTTATTTAGCGTCGTCCACTAAAAAAATAAATAGCGGGTTATATACGATACTTTTGAAGTTAGCATTTTTGCCTAGAAAAGATATCAGTTTCAGTGGATAATTTATTGGATATTAAAAAAATGATTTATTCTTCGTATAGAGGGAACCATTTAATGATGCTATTCACACCTTCCTATAACTGAGCTTAAAGGTTAAGTGTAGGACAACTAATTTTTTCAAATAGAAACATACTTTTTATTGAGTATTCTTCAGTTCGGAAAATAATAAACATTTGTGGATTAGGAAGCTGTTCTGTCAAGGTTTTTGGCACATTTTATTAATAAAAGGCTCTAGTTAGTAAGAAACTTCACTTTCACCTGATTTTCCCAACGATCATACATATTTTTACTTTCAAGAATAGGGAATATGCATGTGGTTTAAATTTACTTGATTCTTTCTCCAGCATATATTTATTGTCCTAACATTATACTTAAACCATTAGTTTCTTATTTAGTTTGTTTTTAATTGCTAAAAATGTTAATTCAAAAGTGCAAAATAAGCGAACGAAATTCAAATTTGCGAAACGCTTCACTATTGGACGAATGAAAGTAACGCCAAATGCCACGCGATCGCATTTGTTGTGGAACTGTTTGAAATTATGGATTCTACCGGCCACATTCTATAAGAAATTTTTTTTTCCGGGTCGGTTTGAGACAATTTTTTTTTCGTGCCTCAAAAAAAGGCAGTGTTTACCTTCCTTTTTTACCAAAAATCGACTGCACCAAAATTTCTCGGGAAAACACTTTTTCTTATTAATTTTGTTGCGTAGAATCCAAAACAATTCGTACTTTTTCGATTAGACTTCTCAATCAAAAGTTATAGACTAGAAACCAGAAACATTACAGTTTTAAACGATACATGTTTATACTGCTCCACAATAGAGGGCGCCTTTAAGTATACCCTAAATTTGTTTCCCAAAAAATGCATAAGGTTAGCAATCTGTGTATGCTTAGATCTGTGCTAAAAGTAAACAAATACTGGTCGTGACTTGTGACGTCATCTAAGGCCCGCTGAAAATGTGGCGGCCTTTAAACACATCGAATAAAGGCAACGTTTTAAATATTATTTTACAAGTTAAATTGAATTGTTCTAACAGTGTTTACTCTTTTTACTATGTTAGAACGATGTAAAAAAGCGATTAAAAAATTAAAAAAATTACATGCATATTCCCTATTATTATAATTGTTTGCTAGCTAATTAATTTCAATTTAATATTAAAGTAAATCCACGACAATTAACTGTAGGCTCGGAAACCCCAGATGACGGACGAGTTACCTATATCGGGGGCGAGATTCTGTTAATAAAAACTCTTCGGTTTATGTGTGATATATGAGTTGCGGTTTACCGATTACCACATTTTTTGTCGTACCATTGCATTTCTCCTACAAGGTCATGTAATTTTCCACCAAAAATGAGTCACATCCTATCCTAAACTTGTTTTTAACTTTGACAGCAACCAACTTGGATTTATTAATCAAAAGGTCAATATTGTTGAATATTTGCACTGGAATATGTCACCTACATGTATACATATTTTGTTAATATTGTTATAATTTTATGTTACACATTCATATTATTACAAAATGAATTTCGGTACACAGTTTAACATTATTTTGTCGGCTGGTTTTTTTCTTGGTAGGTTCTTTTTTTTCCAGCCTATTGCTGGTTTTACACAATCACATAACAGACTCGCTCTTGGCATAATTTCAATCTTCGACAGCCACCCAGTGAACGGTTTAACTTTACAAATGCATACCGGCGCTCTGCGAAAACGACCAGCGCAGGTTTTAACTTGAAAACTGAAAATTATTAGGAGTACAATAAAAATTTCCTCTCAATATAAATTTACAGAATACAGAATTAAGACATACTCAAATTAAAAATATACAATACACTTTATTTTAAAAAAATGCTGTTACATTACATTTATTAAGTATTTAAAATTAGTTTTTAATACTTTTCTGCCGGGCTTGTCAAAATTAAACTAATTTATAATACCTACTGTCACATACTTAAATAATAAAAGGTTTGTCAAAAAATGTACTGTTCATTCGTTGCTCTCTCACCAGTCGAATAAGATAATCATTCACTGTAAATTGGAAACCACTTGAATGATCCAATAAGAAGTACACTTAAGATTAGAAATACACCCGGAAGATTTTGGCCACTCGAGTTACAACCATGTCCTGAGCACGTATGAATGCAAGTCCGATATGTTAAAATGTCACCAGGCTGATTGATATAATCACAGTAATTCCCCAGATCCAGAGACGAACAAAATCTTTTTGTACCAATTCCTCCTAAAAGAAAAGTTGGTTCAGTTAATTTAATTAGTACAATAAGAAAATTTAGTACAATCGCCTTGCATCACTATAGTTTGTAAACCAATTTCAACCGAGTTTCTTTATCTTAGCAAGAAAGAGGGTAATAATTAGAAATGGGTACACAAACTAGTGACATTGGAAACGATTGTAGTAGGCTTATTATTTTAGTAAGGGAGCTGGCGATGTAATTACCATCTATTGATTGTTCAATTTTGTTGAAATAAATAATTACAAAAGTGCTCTGCCTTAGTTGCATAGTAGCATGAAGAAGTTATATCGTCAGTTCCCTTACCGGTAACCAGGTAGATATAGGAAAGTCCCAGCAAAAGAGTAGATATTAAGAATTATTCCAAAGTAAAGCATTGGTATTATTTATAGACGTCTGTATTTGTTGCTCTCAAATTAGTTATATGGATTAGGTATTACAGTAATTGATTTTTGATGAATAACGAATACAGACATCATAAAAGGTTAACTACTGTTAATAAATATGCAATGCTATATACATTTATAAAGCTATGAAATAACAGTGTCTATAATAGAAATGCATTGTGATTATTTATCGGAAAATTAAGTTAGTTGCACTTCTTTTAACAATATGTTGTTATTTCACAGTTCAAAAAGTCACCACAACTAATGAAGAAAAGCAAATGATACCTTACCACCATAGCTGATTGATTTAATGCAATATTGTGCTTCAAACACATGACTGCAATTTTGTGGTACCATTCCACCGAAATGTATCATCCCATCAGCGCATTCTAACTGTTCAGCACTGGTACACTGATAACAATCAATGCTCAATGCTTATAGTTATTCCAAAGCAGCACAAAGAAGAAGTGAAATATTACTACCTGTTTAACCAACATTTTTTTTGGATTAGTGTGATTAGTTACATATAAACTTTATTTTGTGTACAGAAAATACCTTCAAATCTTCCAGTATGTTTAATACAATACTTGGCTCCGTATACTGCGTCACATGGTTCTGCAGATAATTGATGATCTTTGCCGAAGGCTTCGTTGCATTGAAACGAATGTTTGTTACTTGTACTTGAGCATTGATAACAGTCTATGGCTACAGCTAGTAACGGACCAAATAAATTAGAAATAAAAAAAATAAAATTATATTGAATCAAAATCAAATAAATATTTGTATGATTTTTGATGTTTTGGAAATTAAGGTACAATCAAAATATGATAAAATCTTTAAAGTTCGGAGAAATTTACATAAAGGAAATAAAAGGAATTTTAGTTAACGGTAGCTTACAGATGTGACCAAGTAGCGATTTTGAATAATACACGCACACGCATATGGAAATCCGGCTCGAAGGACCAAAATTATGTGTGGTAATTGCCTTTGTAGTGGCAACTTACTGAAGGCGTGGGGTCCACAATCGCACTATGATGATTCGCGATATTATAAAACTTTGTGTTGTCTTAACCAAATAAAAGAAATAAAAGGTTTTGTTACACCCTGTACATGCCTAATTTGAGATGGGCATACCCATTCCGTTCTAGCTCAGAATAGAATGGCACTGTCTCGGGTATTGAACTTGGTTCTTTCAACAAAATTCCATGGGATTATTAAAAATTGATATTCACCCTGGTAACTCCTTTGAGTCTTGTTAAAAATGTAATGTGAAAATGTCATGAAGTCTTTGATGGAATTCATACACTATGAATCTATTCGAAACGCAAATTGGTGCTGGTGCTGTCTGTGAAAGAATAATTTCGAGCAATATTATTTGATGCTAGGTAGTATACAAAAGTCAAATTATAAAAGAAGAGGGTATAGGCTAATATAGCGTAACGAAAATGCGCCAATAAAGATAGAACTAAACAAACAATTTCTGAAATTAAATACGTACAGAAAAGGATGATCCCTACGCGCCCCTGTATTGAATAATTCATTGAAACTCTAAATTACCTCTACAAAGTGATTGTCTCTACACGCTGCAATATCCTCCCTTTTTGGTATGGAGAAAATTAATGCTTCCGTCCGTTATTTCAATTAATTATTGGTATAAATAGATATATGTACTTCGCCCATCATTTAATAATTAATTAAGAAAGTAATGGAATGTGAATGCCCCCTAATTATTTACTTTAATTTGATGTTTTTTTTTCCCAAACTAAATTTACTAATTGACTGTGGCGTAGCGTGTTTGGGGCAATTAAATTACGAACCAATTCGGGAGGATTTCACCAGGTACGCTCTGAGAATTATAATTACATAAAAGTTCTACGAAAGCACGAATTTTTTGCTCAATTAAAAAATTAGTATTTATCGGCGCTTTATAGATTAATTTATAAAGGAAGTGATGGACAATAAAATCGCTCACTCTACTATCTTCAAGTACGTATTGAAACTCTAAATGGGATTAGGGGATGGTTAAAGCTTCAAGGGCTCTTTGAATTACCAAATGCCAATATGTTAAAGCTGATGGACGAACGCACCTTGTTTATCAAGACGAATATGTGAGTGACCGTAGTAAAAAGGAAATGGAAAAAGGAAATTTCAACTCAATAGCGCTTTCCAGTCAAAGGTAATCGAACAAATGGACGAAGAGAAAGCCTCTAAAATAATGGCGTAGCCATAATTATTAAGAACGGTCCAGTAGAAAAGTAGAGTGAAGAAAAAAAGACTTTAAAAAGATATTAACGCGAAACAAATGAGACAATTTTACTGCTCCTTTCGTAAACTTTTAACAAAATTAGCCTTGGCAACAATTCTCAGGGATCAAAGGTCATTTTGACCAGGCTGGATAAAAATTAATACAAAACCACAATTCTTGAAGGAGACGAACCATCGGCCTTCTTTACTCTTATTGCAGTCCGAAAGAGAGTTCAGCGCCAGCAATTCTAAAAATGCCACTATAACGATTTACAGGGTGTCGCAAATTCGAGAGTGACCATTGAGATATCAGAAAGCGTAAGAGATGCGAAGTTGCGCATTTTGGGACCGAATCTAAGGCCATTTGGAAAGTGAACGAAAGGATTTGCTAATTTTCTTTTTTCTTTATTTGAAGAGATTTTGGAACTTCTTTCTTCACCACATCTCCGAAAGTGTTCAGAATCTCTTCAGTTTCGAAGTAGCGTTAGGTTCGGCCCCAAAATGCGCAACTTAGGGGGTTCCAATAATTTAGTGCTAATCTAAGATTATCCCCCCCCCCCCCTTTCCCAACGCTAAAACAATTTTTCATATGTGTCGAGCAGGAACAGTACAGGTCATGGAGCCCACGACGTGATTTTTTGACTTGGTATGCTAAACTAAAAATTAAAATAGTGATATGGCCGGCACTTGTTACGCCACTGGTTACTGGAATGATTATTTATTAATAATCGTTTGTTTGGCAAGAAATCTTTGTTTATGACTATTTACATGCCCCCCTTTTACCTGGTACATCTAGCCATCAAGTAGTTTTTACCTGGACAGCCGTCTATTAAAAAAAATTCAAAAAATTTTGATTTAATATTTAAGCGATTTTTGAATCTTTCTACTTATTCAGTTTTTTTTTCAAAAAAGTTAAAAACTCATAAGGTAGTAGTGGTCACCTACTTGACTAAGACCTAACCTGAGGCAATATATTCAAATGAAATACAAAGAATACTTACAAACATCAACAAATAAAGTAAATCCAATTAAACACCCCAAAAATTGCAGTCGAACCATTTTCAGAGGAGGCTGTGTTAACTTGCGTTTTGTTTATTTACAGATGAAGAAATTTAATGAACCACGCCTACTTTGGAAAATGAAAAACAATTACTTTTGTAACACGTTCCGAACATCGCGTGAGCTAAAGTATGAATAAGCAAACGCGGAATGTTGTTAACGGTACAGGTAAATATGTTGCGCACCTTTAGGCGCGCAATGGACACCGTCACCAAGGAAACGAGTGTGATATAAACAAACAATTCCAATTTTTTTTGCATCATTCATGCTAGTTGTGAGATTCGTTCCAGCGCAAATCCTGCCGGAAGCACTTCAGGATTAACATTTGCCCTTTTGATACCTACTCGAAATCTACATTTTCGTGCCGGACGCTCAAAAAATTCAAAAAACCTGCATGAATACATGTAGAAAGTCACGGGGCCGGGTGGCATGATGGCGCAACCCTTGGCTCATATGGAAAATCAAGGAGTTTCTTAGTATATTGTCAATTTTTCAAGAATATTTTTTTCATTACTTTTTTTAATGTAACGGTTATCTAAATACACGAAATAATAAATAAATAAACGAAAACAGAGATGTAAAAAGGTATTTCATAAGAAGTTCACACGAACGTACGCTTTTTTGACATTTTTGATCGTCTGGCAAAAAAGGTAGATCTAGAGTATCTAAAAGAGAAATTTTGTTAATGTTTAAATGCCTTCAACAGAATTTGCGCTGGCACCATTGTCTTTGTAGAGACATCAATTGATACGAATTCCTTCAAATGAGAGCTGGGTACTACTCGCGAGCGTTTCTCTTGAAAAAGCGCTTGCGAGCACTTTTCGTAGCAGCCGCTAGAGCGCTTTTTTCCCGCTCGCAAGCCCTTCTTCCGCTCCTGAGCGCTGAAAGATAAAGTATTAACTTTTAGCGTTTTTTCCGCTCACGAGCACTTTCCCGAGCGCTCGTGATAAACCACTCGAGCACTTTTAGGGGTGCTCGTAACTCTCAAGCGATTTTGCTTTGCAAAACAGCCTGATGCTCGCAAGCACTTTTGAGACAGTTAGAACGCTCGTCGCTCGAGCTGTTTTTTAGAACACTCGACCCAGCTCTGCTTCAAATTAAGTTACAATCGTCCGGACGTTCAGGTAGGTTTACGTCCTGGGCTCTCATGATTTGACTCCCTATATACCAACGGCACAACGTGTGAAATTGCTGGAGTAGGCACAAAAAAAAATAGGTAATTAAAAATCCAAGATTGGAGTTAAAATAATAGTTATATTTCAAAAATAAATACACAGGTTCATAATTTTTATAACAAAAACTCGAAAAAGACTAATTTGTATATGAAAGCATGTCACCAATGCTAAAAACATTACAGGTACAAATAGATTCTTTACAGACTATTGAAACCAGTTGTTATTCGGCGTTACCTTACAATTTTTATATATTTCTAAATTTCATGTAAAAAACATCAATTATTCTTTGTACATCACAACTAAAACATTAGTGTTGAACACTACTTAAGAATTTTAACAATAGAAAAACAGCCATCTTAAGATGTTTGACCCTTTAACGTTCTGCGCTTCTTGTGTTTATCAATTTTAGTGGGTACGTCATTCGAACTTGCCAATCTTCTTAACGGGCGCTTGCTTTTCTTACTTTTAGAAAAATTGTACACGCGAAATAGGCCTTTGGTGGGTCCGGGATCACCGCCAAGGGAAGGTAACGCTTTTATTCCATAACCTTTCACTTTATGAGAGAACACTTGGGCAGCATTGTGACTGTCCCATTGAACGATCAAATCGGAATCGCTCCCCTTCCGACCGTCACATTTTCCCTTATATTTGGCAATCATTCTCTTGCCCTCCGTGCCTTTAAGAAAACAAATTTCGTGAAGTTTTAAACGACTCGGGTTTTCGGTATTGGTACCTTTCTGCTCTTTCTCTTTAATTGCGTCTAGCTTTACGGATTTCAACTTGGTGGCGTTATGGCGACTTTGCGAATGTTTGACGTTACTCGCGGATTTCGATTTTTCGACCGTCGTGTTGCCTTTTAATTTTAACGTACTCTCTTTGCGAGATTTACTCCTAGTACTGTCGAACAGTACCTTAGGTCTCGGTCGTGGTACGGTTACAATGTTGGAGCAACTGGGTTGCGAGGAATTTCTGGGACTCGAAGCGCATATGTTTTCCTTGCGTTCCACCGGGACCACGCTCGTAGAATGTACGGCTTTAACCATGATTCTCTTAGCGTCTCTAATTGATGGTGAACGTGTTTTTAACACAGCTCCCCGCAGTGACTTACCCTGCAGGAAAAACAGCTTACCAGACTGATTATGCAAAGCTTATAACTATAAGTAAAAGTTGCAAATTTTCTTCTGTAAAATAAGAAACTTACAAACAGTATACAACATTTTTAATTACGCATTCAATTTACAATCACTATAGGTACATATTACTCTTACAACAACAGTAGATAATTTTCTTTAGCATGATATTTGCCACTTTCACAATTTTTGCCTAATAAACAAAACTCCAATCCTTTCATTATTAAAGACATACAAACAAGCAATATAAAAATACACTTACGTTCTCCATTTAACTATAAATTTTATCTGAAGTTTCACATCAAAAGTGAAATATCTACAACTTTTATTTCACAGCCATCTTACAGTACCTACACCACTTAAATTTTGAATTGTTGCATAAGTCACCTTTTCAATAGCATAATGCGCGTTCTTTTACTACCTAATTAATTAGCTCATTGCAAATTGACTTATACGTATTAATGAAGCTAATTGATTAGTTGATACATGAACCTTTTTTTTAATTGTTTTATTACTCTTTGCAATGAATCGGTGCATTTGTCAGACAAAAGAACTTGGCAATAAGACGTTAGTTTTCCTTCGTATTATTTTTTTCTTCAAAACAGCAGAACACTCAATTTCATTAAAAAACAAGTGATGTTCTGGTTGTCAGGACAACATGGTTTCGTACGCTACTGCCTAGTGCAACTTCTAAAGTTATTAGGTGTAAAATTGTACCGTTTGAAGAAACAAGTAATAAGTATACACGTTTATTCTCCAGTGTATTAAGTTTAAAAATGCATGTAACCGTTGTTGAGCTTTGATGACACGTAACAGAATTTCATTTCGAGCGGGAGGTGTGTGGTTTACACAGTTGACTTAAGAGTAACATAATTTTAAATTTTTTGACCTCCTAGGCTAACAGTGACATGGTTAAGAACTTTTAGGCGTAACTTTCTTTAAAAACCATCCAACAATAAAGGGGGGTACAATGCTAACAATCAAATCACCTTACCTTACCAGATAATAATAATAATAATTTTTATTTTTTTAAATTTTTTTTAAAATTTTTATTTTATTTATTTATTTATTTTTATTTTTTTAGGACCCTACATAACTTCACCAGACACAGACACTAATCGTTACTTGATTTTAATCCGTGCGATTAGTTAACCAGGCTAGACCTGAGTTCTCACAAGATACACCGACAATCTAGCTCAAGGCTATTCTATTTAACCAGAAAGCATGGAAATAAATACACAAATTAAATATGCACAACACAAGATAATCAAATGATAATAGAATACAAAAAAAAAAACCACAGCATTATACATCTGCAAGAACTATCCCAAATTATGATTATGATTGAGAAGATATGCCTTTAAATGTTTTTAGATGACCGATAAACTTAAAAAAATTGATCCATTACTCGATAATTTATCTATATTAATTGTGCATATAAAAGCAAACATGGATAAATCGATAATCACCGATAATGTAAGGTTAATCCCACATCATTTATCGAGTTATCGATAATTATCAATTGCTCAACAACTATGGATAAAGATTTTTTAGATTTATCAATAGTATTGAATTAATAATGAAATGAAATAAAGTAAAGCAACAATTTATCATTTTTAAATAAAACTTAGGATCATGTTTTCTTATACAGGATCGCTATTAAAAACTGAACCAAAGGTCGCTCACCCTCAAACCGTTTGAGATATGACATGAAAATTAGTAGAAACGAAAAGAAATTGTGTAGATAGTAGGCAGGAAAACAAGTTAACAATCTGTCAGTAAAAAATACAATAGTTTTTTCTTAGAGCTGGGCAAGCTTTCAGCGACTCAACAATTATAACATTTCCATTTGAAATAAGTTCATATATTTTAAGGTTAAAAAATTTTTTTGCCACATGGTTTTTGAGTGAGACCGCCATTTTGAATTTTTTAAAATGACAACATAGGTAATGTGACACGCAGGGTTGCCAGATTGCGTATGGCCGTCTGCCGGACATAGGCTGCATGAGAAACATAAATCTACATTGCGAACAAACCCCCCCCCTCAAATTTAAGAATTTTTTTATTTCAAATTGGTATAAGTAAACAAATAAAACAAACTATACATTCTTGCAATATAAGTAATATAAGGGTAAATACAGTGCACTTAAGTTAATAAATTAAACATAAACATCAACATCGCTGTTTACACACAAATAGTCAAAACAAGAAAGTTAAACATATTTTTCTGATTTTCTGGCAAGTGTTAGTAGTTTTTTGTTTTTTAATACAAAATCATAGAAATCCTATTTGTGATTTTGTTACATTTAAAAATTAAGGTGTTATTAGGTGCTTAGAAAGGAATCGTTTGATCTATTTGAAAAGTATTAAATTGAAATGTATTGTTCTGCTGGAGTTATAGTCGCGCCTGCCGGGGGCCGGAGAGCACGATGTAAAACCTGAGACTCCGGCTGAATGCCTGACATCTGGCAACCCTGGTGACACGTCATTAAAAAGCTTATTTTTTCTCTCTCTTACTACCTTAAACATGTATGGCTTAAATAAAAAAATAATGCTGGAAAATTAGAAAAACCTTGGCACTTTAAATTTAAATTAACAGAACATCAAAAATTAACAAAAAAGCAATCACCAGGTGTTAGTGACAAAAACAGTACATACCTATGGTTTGTTTCCTTAGTCTTACAACTGTATTATGTGAGAAATACGGATTTTTCTCCATTATTTTCTAATTTAACACCATTCATGATGAAGGTAGTAAAAAAGAGAAAAAAATAAGCTTTTTAATGACGTATTACATGACCTACTTATGTTGCTATTTAAACAAATTCAAGATGGCGGCCGCACTCAAAAAACAAATGTAAAAAAGTTGTTTTAGCCTCAAAATATTTGATAATTTCAAATTTGTAATACCAACCCTGTATGTTTAAACGCATAGGGTGAGCCAAAATAAATAATTTTGTCAAATAGATCATTGTGGCGTTAGCATGACACTTTCAAAATAGGATCACAAGTCACAACCTACTTGAGCATGACCTGAATTATATATTTTTATGCTTGATTACTTTTTCTATACTAATAAAACGTACCAAGACTATTATCTAACTGATCGATTTTGATTTCAGAAAACTACATAATAATTTTTTTAATAACAATAATAATTTATTGTCCAAACAGACTATCCAGTGTAGGACAAACTTAAATATTGTTCAATAAAAGCCGCGCAGAAATATAGAAAAATTGAACAAAAATAATTATAACTAAAGCGATAAAGTCATAAATAAAAATTTGTACTAAAACCGTAAGTTGTATGAGTTATGGAGAAGTTATTAATAATTCTCGAAGATAAGACCATTATCAAAAATTACGATTATTATTCCAGTGGCGTAGTGGGTACATAAAAATTATAATAAATTTAGGGGAAGCTCAGAGGAATTTAGTAATTAACTAATCTTACTTAGTAAATGTACAGGGTGGCCAAATAAGAATGCGAGGTACTGTATTGGGAACCTGTCCATCGTAGAAGCTTGCGGTAAAAAAATTTATTACTAAAACGGCCACAAGAAAAACCTGGAAACTATTTTTAAGTTTCTGAAATGGCCGCTAGGGGGCGTAACTGCAATCTGGAATCTAATAAAGTGATTTTTCTGTGAATTCCGCTATATTAACCTAACAAAAAAATGTCCGGTCTTTGAAGACGACGATAATCTGAATTATTTTGTTTGACAATTTTTCCTGTATCTCTAAAAATGAAGTGGTGGGGGGTATTCAAAGGTTTCCGTAAAGAACACTCTGTATCTTCGAAACGGCTGAGCCGCTTTTAACACACTCGGGTTAATTAAAAAGAGTTATCTTTCAGCTACAAATATTATATTTGAAGTTTTGTTAGTTTCACATATCGCCGCTTGAGGGCGTTTTTCGACATTCCGACAGAAATGGTTAATTTTCTCAAAAAAATTAAATGCGTTGGTTTGATTTTTTTCATGAAAAAGTAGCTAAATGATGCCTAAACAACCTCGCGAAAACCGCATCTCGATATTGTAACGGAAACGCTCCAGACGTGACGTCGCCTTTGGCGCTCTGGAATTTTCTAGGCGCGCGATAGTGGGAATGTTTGCGACGTATCTGGTAATTACGCGAGTGTTCTGGACTTACGTTGCTTGCGTGTATAAATGGTTGCGGACCGAACATCGCAGGCAGTTTTACTACCGAACGAGATCGAGTACGGATGAAACATCGAGCGCGGAAATATAAATTGCGAAGTGTGTGATATAAATAGTCGATATAAATTGTACAGTTTTTATAGTGTTTTAGATTTGTTTAATAAATATTGATATAAATCGAACCCGAATTTATAAATCACGTTACAATATCTTGATCCTAGCTTAAAATTCAGGTCAAAGAAAATTTTATACCCTCAAAATTTCATTTTTTTAAGCTAATTTTTCCGGAATTATTTTTATTATATCATTTGTGGTCCTACGGTGGATCGATTTAAAAAAGGAAGCTTTTAATGCCGCCGTAAATGCTCAAAATGACGGCCATTACCATATAAAAAAAAATATATATATATATATCTCAAGATATCGAGATGCTGTTTTCGTGAGCTTGTTTAGGCATCATTTAGCTACTTTTTCATGAAAAAAATCGAACCAATGCATTTTTTTAAGAAAATTAACCATTTCTGTCGGAATGTCGAAAAAAGCCCTCAAGCGGTGATATGTGAAACTAACAAAACTTCAAATAGTATAATATTTGTAGCTGAAGAATAGCTCCTTTGAACTAACCCGAGTGTGTGTAAATCGACTCAGCCGTTTCGAAGACACAGGGTGTTCTTTACGGAAACCTTTGAACACCACTTCATTTTTAGAGATACAGGAAAAATTGTCAAACAAAAATTGTTCAGATTATCGTCGTCTTCAAAGACCGGACATTTTTTTGTTAGGTTAATATAGCGGAATTCGCAGAAACATCACTTTTTTAGATTCCAGATTGCAGTTACGCCCCCTAGCGGTCATTTCAGAAACTTAAAAATATTTTCCAGGTTTTGCTCGTGGCCGTTTTAGTAATAAATTTTTTTACCGCAAGCCTCTACGATGGATAGATTCTCAGATACAGTACCGCGCATTCTTAGTTGGCCACCCTGTACATCTTAGAAATGTAAAAACGTGTATTATATTAATAAAAATAACATAAGTACAAATACCTACGTTTTTTTTTAAAATTTACGCCTCCGTTTGTAAGTAATCTGAAGTTATTAAAGTATACGATCATTGCCGACCGCGTGACGTCACCTGCGCAACCCGAAACGTTCTTTCTGTATATCTAGGGGGTGTTGCCGCAAGTAGATAACCAATGTATATTCTGGAGCAGGAAATGACGTCACACCAATGGCAAGCTTGGAATGGAGTGACGTCATTTCCTGGTTTAGAACATACATTTGTTATCTACTGCCGCGCAACACAACTGTAAATCATGGGTAACTGGCAAATATACACTATAGCACCTATCACATGTAATCAAAGCTCATGTGAATAAGGCATCATGCATCTAATTATTATGAAAAGGTATTATTTGAGAACAAAAGGAGATTTTGAAGTTTCCTAATCTACCCTACATTAAAATCCTTTTTTAAAAAATTAGTATTTGTACTATAAGTTCGGCACCCTAATATGCCGACCAAAATTGACGTTTAGTTCTCATGAAAATTAAAAGTCAAATTTTATTTAAAAAAAAGTGTCTCGCTCACGAATAACCTATATAAAAAGAAGGCAAGTTCAATGGTACTATTAACAAATTTAATTTAGTTATACAAGTGAACATATGTTAATACTGATATCGTGTCTATCAATATCGTTTTCAGCACCGTCTGTTTTAGTGGCAATATCATTTTGGCCTACCTGGGCGCGCAGGCTTGAAGATTTTCTCAATTTGAACCTTGCAGGTACGCATCTTGTCTCTCCCAATTCGTTGACACAATGCATTTTTAACCAATCTCGAACACCATTTAAAGAATGAAACTGGGAGTTTGGTAACCGCGTAATAGGATTATCACCGGTAAGATCAAGAATTGACGCACCTAATGTCTTCCCGACCTACAGTGAAAATTTTAATCTCTCTCTCATACGGGTCGAGTACGAGCACCTCTTCAAATATATGGGGATTATATTTTGGAGGAATCGGAATAGTGTGAACGCCTCGTCCAGACTCCTTAATCGTGCTAGGAAGCACATTTACAAGACTTCCGGTGTTGTAATTACATTCCAAAGTGTAACTTCGCACTAAACCGGTCAGCTTCAATACCGCTACTCGGCCGGATCCTTCGCGACTCATTCCATCTCGCCTGTCCCTTTAAAAGAGGGCACTAAAATACTGAAATTAATCCATCAAGCGCTTACTTTAAGTACATATTTCGCTCCGTAAAATTACAAGCGGTAAAATGAAAATTGAAATTATTTATACTCATTATTTTGGGTAAAAGCATGCAGTCAATGTTTCTTTCAAAATCTTCGAAATGATTTCCATACATAAATATACCCTTTTTAGAGGCATGTCCGTGCATGTCAAGATACATAAATAAACCGGATTCGTTCGAATTCAAATCACCATATTCCGTATTTTCATCATCGTCTGCAACTTTGCTAATTTTATTCTCGTGATTTTCAGTTAAACCCTTCTCCGCTGAAAATGATACACCGTTATTGATATTCGTAATTTCATTCGACACTTCTGGCTCAGACTTTTCAACTTCAGTAACATTAGCTTCGTATTTACAGTAACAGTTAGTAATAGAATCTGTATTTTTATTTTCTTCCAGTGTCATATGAGAAACTCTCTTACTAAGTTTATGGTCGTTACCTCCATGATTATCCTCCATAGAAGATATGTCATCGTTATCATTGGGTAAGTCAATCGTTTCGCAGAAGTGGTCTTCTTTTTCATATCCAAAATGATGGTACCTTATCAAAGCTCTAGCTGCAAATATTGATGGGTGCAAAGTTAAGGACGGATTGAGATACATTCGATTAAGATTCACTCCTCTTGTGTCGGTTCGATAGTGGCCTCTAGCAACACCATCCGGATTTAGCATCGGTATCAGTTTGAATACGTATAATCTTCGCAAAACGATAGCTACAGGGTTATCTACACTTAATAAGAGGTTCAAAATTCCGTTAAATACAAAACTAGATGGAGTTTCTCCTGGGTGAACACGAGCAGATATAAATATTACCTAAAATATCAATAACAGAAAAACACAGGTTATTACGTGGGCGTAGAAGGGCCACATGTAGATTTTTGCAAGAAAACTAATACTTAACAGCTGCGTAAATTACATCCGTCCGTCCGAGAACTTCTCAGCACTTAAATCTCATACATGGTGACCCCCGGGAACCTTTCCACTAATACAAACGTATATTGAAATCAATTTTTTTAAAAACAAATTTATTTAATTAATATACAGCGTGGTTCAAATTGGACACTTTCTTATAGAAACCCCATTTATTTTAAGAGATAGAAAAAAATGGATCAAGGTCTCTGGAGCCCAACTTTAAAATCACATATTATATTTAGTCGTTTCAGGGTGGTCCAAATTTGACACTTTCTTATGGAAACATCCTTTATTTAATATTGCATTTTATACATCAAAATATTTTTATTGTACCCATCTAGGTTTCCATGGCGAACAAAAGATGGTAGGATTGTGTAAAAAGACAATTTTTTGGTTATTTGGAAATGTTTATTAGCTTCCAAATATTCTTAATTTCAAACACACAAAAAACAAAGAATGTGAATAAAACAAATAAGTCCTATAAGTAAATAATACAGTTAACCAAGAAATTAGCGTTTTATAAACAATCCTGCCATCTTTTGTTTGTCATGGAAACGTAGATGTCTGCAATAACAACATTTTAATGCACAAAATGCAATATTGCAAATAATATTTAATATAAATATAAGTGCGTTTGTAAAATAAAATTTGTCGGTGTAATTTCATGCAAGTTGTGTGTTAATTCGGACCCTTTGTTAACGACGAACAGAAAAGTTTCATGTTCAATTACAGTTAATTTTATTGATTCTCGCCCAAAGCTTATTTTAAGTTTAAATTTAGTCACATGACCGTTTGGAATTTAAGGATTTTTCCTTTATGTGCGACGTCTCCTATTTTGATTAAGACTGCAGTGGATCTCAGCTGTTTTTAAAGATAGAAACATGCGGTTTTCGCGACCCTGTTCCCCGTTTTTGTGAAACTTTCAATACCACAAACAGCGTCCATTTACGTTTGTTTCTGAGATACAGGGTGAAAGCGAATACTTTGACTTTGAGATATTATCAAATGTTATTACCCATGTAAGATAGATAAAGGTAAAAACTGCTTATTTTAGATACTGTACCGTAGTAAAAAAATGTTGGACCATCGTTTCTGAGATTAATTACCATGGATACAATAATGAACAAAACAAAATCTCCATGAATCCATGACCTACTATTTAAAAACAGTAAAAAAGTAAGATTTCCATGGTTAAAATTAAAAAAAAATGAAGGTTGTGGTACATCAACGTAATCAGGAAAACAAGTGACGTTAAGATATACCGGGTGTCGCATTGAAAAAATACCAACATTTAGTCAAATCTCATGTCACTGCTATCGTATTAACAGTTTTACAAAAAAGTGACTGTACAAGTGTACAGGGTGGTTAAAATTCGTGCCTCACTATTGGGATCTTCGTAACGGTGAATGATACAGTGTAGGTTGAATGTGTGAAAAAATGCATTTGAAATTTTTGAAAATAACATGAGATATCATCGAAAAACTGAAAATTTCAAATTTCGTTTTCATTTGGACCATTCTTGACATTTTCTATGGATACCTTTTTTTCGGAGAATCTGAGTCAGTTATCAGAATTTCCATAGCATGCCAGATGTAGAAGGTACATGCTACTACTTACTTATTTCTTATGGGTGTGGCAAAAATTTCAAAAGCATTTTTTTAGTCATACAAAGAGGCCTCTCTTTAACCTACACTGTACACTGCCAAAATTTGTAAATTGTAAATATCTCGTTTTAAACGTTAAAACAAAACAAAATATATTTTAATTTAATATTGCAAATAATATTTAATATAAAGTGATACATGAAAAACTCAAAAATATATGGGGTGTGGTCCATATGAAAAAATTTAATTTGGGGTTGTATAAAAAACCAAACACCCTGTATAAAAATTGCGTATTGCGATAGATGCTACATAAAAAAGTGCTCTAAGAAAGATTTTGCCAAAATCAAGTATATTTAATAGTAAGAAAGTTATGGGGCATTAAAGAAATGAACTGAATTCGAGAAACGCCCCCTAGCGGCTAAATGATTACACATACACTTGGTCCTTAAAAAATCCTGAAAAGAAAAAATCACAAGCTTTCAAATCGGGGGAACGAACGGACGAATCTGGAAATTAAGCGACCCAGAAACAGGTTTCCGAGCAGTGTGGATGGTGGGCCCGTCTTGCTTAAACGTCCTGCTGTAAGGTTTGGCAATAAAAGTTTGTGATTTTGTCTGTGCAGTATCATTAAGAGGCTATTGAAGGGCTCAATGACACTTTTCCTATTCTTTTGCCCTTATCTTACCTTAGTGGGCGGGATTTCAGCCAAGGAGGCTCTACTACCCTGACCCACTATACATTTATTTATTTATTTTGCCTTTATTTTTGGAGTGAGGCTGCTCTACCAACCCAACCCACTATACATTTACAATTATCCATGCCCTTTGTGGAGATCCTAGTAGCTTTTTATTCTACATGTACATTCTCTGTTCTTAATTTCTGAACCCATTTAAGAATACTAGGTCGCTAGTAACAGCTTCATGCCGGCCGACATTGGGATGACAATGACAATAAGTACTCTCTTGAGTCACCCTGTAGAAGGCTGGCTTTATTTTGTGCACAAAAGGGACATCCAAATTCAGACTCTGTCTGTACAAAAAATCTAAATGTGGCCCCTAACACCTTTGCGCATTATAAATACTGGTACAATACCTTCTTTCCAATAAATCTAAAAGGCCTAAGAACGTGCTTTTCCGGAAATAAATCCTTTAGTCTGGCTTCTCTCTCGTTGCTGATGTTATGATAAGACGATATTGTAAGAAGCTCTACTCTTCTTCCTTCCAATGAAAAACAAATCGCTTCCCGGACATAATAAATATCATCTCGCGATAGCACGGCTTTATCTAGAAACCTTTCATCATTGGTGTTGAGGGTATTGGTAAGTTCCGCGTACGAATACGGATACGTGAACGCAAAATAAACGATGCTTTGAACATTTTCTGGTGTTTTGTATTTAAAGCTTAATGTAAAAATGTTATCATTCATCTAAAAAAAATGGGTTTCATTGGATAGACGTTTTCCGACTGAAATATGAAGAAAACTCACACTATATGATGGTTTGTCCCTCACCCTTTCCCATTGTAATTTTCCTGGTACAATACGATAAACAGGTGCCATACCTTGACTGTACATTTTGCCTTGACGATTTAGGTCTACAAGATTCAACTTGACAACTAGCTCGGGTGCATTTGCTGGGAAAAGTGTTGTTTAAGTTTAGTTATTTATATCTAATAGCAAAAATACCTACCACGTATTCCAAAGTAAAACCATGTTCGATTAGCGTTTTCAAATTCGGTACCAAAGCAATCGGGTTTCGTCCATATATTAAATTCTACGTCATGAACATCCTGTAGAGTGGACCGTGATGATTGTGTAGCTAAAAGGTTGACCTTTAGATATAAATTAATGTTTCAAGCGTATACCTGATTCAAAACAAGGTACATATTCGACTCTTGATAAATTGGCAGAATCAAAATTTGAAAAGAATTCAAACCCTGCGCATTCCAAATCGTCCATTACTTTTCAAAGATATAAATGTAATTTATAATTTCCCATTTCTATTGTGTTTCTATGAAAGAGCCCGTCTCAAATCTGTAAAACAAGTTTCGCAATTACTCAGAGTTTTGAAATGAATAATGGATCAAAATCTATCTATAGGCTTTAGCAAGGAACAAGGCTACATACAAACACCTACAAATGTTATGTACCTTATGTAATAAATGGATGCAAATGATAAACGTACATGGTCAAACAAGAAAATGTTTCTGTATAATAAGTTGCAGTGATTCAAGAAATGGGGAACATATAAATATTGTTAAATTAACCACCGTTTGTGTCAATAAAACAACAACTTTCCTCAGCTGGTTTTTGTTTTCGATGGTATGTCAAAGTAAACTGTCATGCCAAAAAAACATGGTGGGTAATAGCATAAACCAAATATAACTAAACTAAGAATTATGTCATGATGATGTAAAATTGGCAACATTGCAAATGAATTATTCAAATTTATAAAGGAATGTTTTTGGAATCATCTGTATATTTGTATTTATACAAAAGGCAATGTCTGTCTATCTGTCCGGCGTCCACATTTCAGAATCAATCATCACCAAATTTAGTTCAAGAGGTTAGTCTATTATGGGATGGATCAATATTGTAGATTTTACGGCTGTAAAAGTAAATACACTTTCAAAAATTTCATTTGCAATCAATGTAACTACACCTTAAAAAGCAAAAGGATATTTTAAGACGTCACATTATATCACGTTACTTCAAGAATTTTAAATATGATCAGTGCAATTTTGTAACCAACAATAACATAACTTAAAAGTGGCATATTCACATTCACGTCTTGACCTTGAAAAGTATGCCCATAAAATCTTGGTACTAAATTTTGGCACACCCTGTATGTATAATCATAGACGATTTAGATCAATGACTGTCTTATTCTTATATCTATGGTAATGAATGACGGCTGTCACCTTTAAACATAACCTCAAAATTACATTAGAAATTAGATAATTTTTTAGGGTTGAATTTAAACCAAAGACAGCTTTAAGGGTATTGTTTCTTTCAAGCAAATTTTGCTTTGATCGAACAGCAAGATTTCAATAACGTACACCCTAAAATAAAAAGGGAGCACACTGCAAATTATCACAGGAAATGTCTGAACATCAAGGCGTTTCACAAAAACGATGGGGTCACTTAAGAAAAGTGCTGGAACGCCCCGGTCCCTTCAGTCACCCAGATTTTGAACCGTCATCCGAAATTCTCGATTTTATTATGACAACGTGCAAGTTATTGGTTATCGGAGCGGGAGGTTTAGGATGCGAATTACTAAAGGATTTGGCATTAATGGGCTTTAAACAAATTCACGTTATCGATATGGACACGATCGAACTATCGAATTTAAACAGACAGTTTTTATTCCGTCAAGAAGATATTGGTTCTTCTAAAGCCGAGGTTGCGGCATCTTTTATTAATAGAAAAGTAAAAGGGTGTCAAGTGACCCCTCATTTTTGTAAAATTCAGGATTACGATGAAACGTTTTACAGGCAATTTCACTTGGTAGTTTGTGGGTTAGATTCAATAGTGGCACGACGTTGGATTAATGGAATGTTGATTTCACTATTAAATTATGAAGACGGGACATTAGATCAAACGAGTATTATACCTATGATTGATGGAGGTTTGTTCATTAGTATTTATGTACCAGTTTTAGCATTTACGTTACAGGAACGGAGGGCTTTAAAGGTCATGCTAGAGTAATTTTACCTGGAGTTAGTGCTTGTATAGATTGCACCTTGGACTTGTATCCTCCACAAATTACTTATCCTCTATGCACAATTGCCAATACTCCTCGCTTGCCAGAGCATTGTATTGAATATGTGAAAATAATTCAGTGGCCTAAAGAAAATCCTTGGGGATCTCTAATTGATGGGGACGATCCCCAACATATATTATGGATTTATGAAAAATCGTTGGAGAGATCTACTCAATTTAATATAGTAGGGGTTACTTATAGGCTCGTGCAAGGAGTTGTAAAAAATATTATCCCCGCTGTGGCTTCAACAAATGCGGTTATAGCTGCAATGTGTGCAACTGAGGTGAGTTACCTACACGATTTACGATAAGGTGTCTCATTCTGTTTTTAGGTTTTTAAATTAGCAACAAGCTGTTGCGTACCTCTCAATAATTACCTAGTTTTTAACGATGTGGACGGCATTTACACGTACACATTTGAGGCAGAGAAAAAAGAAAACTGTTTGGCATGCTCCCAGATACCTCAAACATTATTGATACAAGACCCGGAACAAATGAAGCTTAAAAATCTGCTCGATGTATTTTGCGAAAGCGCAGCTTATCAAATGAAAAATCCAGGACTCACGACGTATATTAACGGAAAAAATAAAACTTTATACATTTCTACAATTAAAAACATTGAAGAAAAGACTCGGGAAAATTTAACTAAAACCTTGTTAGAATTAGGATTACAAGATGGATCTGAAATAATGGTCGCGGATCTAACTTCTCCCAATGTTCTCTCTGTCCGTTTGAAATTTGCTAGCAAAAATGTTGATACTTGAAAATATTTTCAAATAAAATGTTAAATGAAACCAGGGTTTAATATAATAATAGTAATAGTGCAAATATGTATAGTGTACTCGTTGTTTAGTATTAAAATGGAAAGGATTTGAAAAAGAGTACCCTTCTCTCTATTTAATCCTGTAGTACCTACCCTACATCCATGGTACAATAAGACCATGACTAAATCCTTGATACGTTGGGTATGGGTTCTATAAGAAATCTATTGTGAGATAGGCAACACACAATACAGATAGTGCTTGCTGAAGGCTGGACTACAGAACGGAGTATGTAAAGTTGCCTATTGCCAGTCGCCAAATTAACCATTTTCAATATTAATTTGTGTCCGATGGCAAAATCATAAACTTAGGTCAATTATTATTTATTAATGCACATTTTCTATCTGTATAAAATAAGCTGCGCGAGCTATCTTTTCGCGTTCTCGAGGTAAACTATTAAATCGACTTTCCAAGATATTTATAGATAAAGTTGGAACAATTTCCAAAATTGGTACCTACAAAAGCTGTAAGTTATTCATAATTTTATGATTTCAAGTGAACAATAGGATTCCCACCCACGCCATATTAGCTTCATGCCCGATTCAACCACCCACTCCCTTACCCTTACGTCATGTCCATGTGCATATACCTACAATTTATGCATCAGGTCCTGGTTTTTGTGCCATTTTACTAAATCTAATTATCAATTTTTTAGTAAGCACAGTTTTTAATAACAAAATCGCATCTTTATTGGAAGAAGTAAAAGTGATATCATGCTCTTCATGCACCCCATCCACTCCCCATGTCCCCTAAATGTTACGTCATTAATTATGATCCAGAGGTTTAATTATTATAGCACAAATGCGGTCTCGTTCTTCCATATTATGTTTGAGGTTGATGAGACATAAAAGTAAATTCAATTATACCTCAGTGTAAGAAATATGAATGTATATTTGTAAAATTAGTTAAAGATTAAGGGATGAGGGGTAGTATAGACCCCTTTATACAATTTAAATGGGCGGTTATTGAATAGTAACAATGGCTCTGATTCTCGACCGTCTTTCTTGGATGTGTGGGTCTTGCACCACCGCGTACCCCTGGTATAGATAATAAAGCTGCCTTAGCGAGCCATAATAAAACGTGATGTTTTTTCATGTTTAACGAAGCTCCGATTACAGGGTGAGCTTTTTCGATTTTAACCATGAGAATCTCTTAAGCTATCAGGGTCGGTCTGGAGAGAAAAATTTACGCGCTGTTGTTTTCTTCGCAACCCACCCCAAATGTTCCTCTTATAATTATTTAATTACATTAAACACTAAACCGTATACTAATAAAATCAAGTGAAAGCATTGTAGCAACAGCATCGTTTTAATTTATATCACATACACCACCTCTACTACTCGTGGGAATTGTATGGACGAAAATTGAAAAAAACTCTTTTTGGGCTCCTCGTCAGAGGGAATCTACAAGCCAGGCCCTCAAAAGGGGTCCGGTAACGAGCCAGGCTCCTCGAAAGAGGTGACGCAGGGCCTCAGAGATTGAAAAGGATTTCGACGAACTTTTGCCTCGTGTGGCGGTTTTTGGCTCCGATCGGAACCGTCGACATTGCTAGGGGAGGGGAGAACCTAGTACAGTATCAGTAAAGTAACATTCTTACAGCACAGTAAAAGGGGGCGAACGTGTACTGGAAAGTTTCCAAACACCGTGAAAGAGCTCATCCAGGAGGTGGGTAGGTGGTGCAGTAGCCATGGCCTCTCCGTTAATCCGGAAAAGACCGAGGTTGTTCCATTTACGAAAAGCAGGAGCTTCTGGGACGTTAACTGATGTGATCCGAGCTGACTTACTAAGACCGAAGAGTTATAAGGTCACCCTCTCGGACAGGAGCAGTGGTTAGATTCAGATTGCCTATTTCTAAAATATTCGCTATTTTTAAAACAAATGGAGAGAAATTCTTGTACTCACACTTTAGACAGTATAATATACTGTGCGTCCCAGGTTGAACGCACCATTGGGAAACAGAGTTAATGTATTTTTTCCCGAAGGATCCACGAAGCCTTTGATATGTATTTGAAGTTAGCGTTCAACGGGCGTTAATGCGCTTGTCATGCTAAAAAGAGATTGGAGTAGTACCTTGAATGCTAATTTCAAAGGCCTCATGGTCATGGATCCTTCGCGAAAAAATACATTGACGTTTTCCTATGGTACGTTCTATCTGGGACACACTGTATATAAGTAGGTACTTACAGTAGTTATACAGGGTTTCCGGGACGGAGCTATAAGAAAAAATCTGAAAATTTCGGAATCAAAAAAGGGGGAGATAACGAGTCTTAAAAATTGCATTTTAGATGGTTTAGAACTTCCATACACTAGGGAGTTTTGTTGGAGGGTAATAACCCCAACATTTTTAAATTGCAGCCCTAGTCCAGTTTCACCACAAACGCATTTCCGATCCCCCCACTCGATTTTTTTCTTTTGGGGGTTTGCAAAAATGAGAGTGTATGAAAGTAGGTATTAAATGATTCGAAGAAACCACCAATATCACTAGGGATCTGCTTCAAAGGGTTCAAACCTACAATTATGTTTTAAGAATGTGTTTCTTTTTTAATTACCTTCAAAATAAGGTGAAAATCGACCTCCTACAAAAACTGTAGTTGTGTTATATGTACAGCGTGGTTCAGAGGTTTCAATTATCGGAGTGGTACTGGGGAATATCCGGATTCCTTGGATGCGGGGATGCTGTCTCCGTCTATGAGCGTGCTACGTGTCTTGTCTCGCGCCCTTGTCTTACGATACGTGGATCTTTTATGAGCATTTTCGATTTTTCAAATAATGTTTTGTTCAATTCTTTTTTGCGCCCGTAAAATTCCTGCGCCCTAAAGCCCGGGCTTTGCCTGCCTATATGTTAATACGCCACTGAATACAAGAGAAATACGCGAATCAAACATCTCAAATCGTACAATAAAAACCAGGAATAGAGTCAAATGCAATTAAACAAAATAATAAAATGTGGCATAATAAATACAAAGGGTAAACAGATCAATTTTATAAAGGTCAATTTAGACACCACAACTCGTACCTAAATGATAAAACTGCACATACATAAAAAGACATCAAAAGCGAATGGCTCTACTTCAGCAGCGACTACCATTGATTGAACACGAAACACTCCAGACCCTCATACTAAACTGAAAAAAAGTTAATTAGAGGGTCCCTCCTTCTCATATTGCTAAGACACAAGGAGATGCGGAAACAACATGATACAGCGAAGATTCGGAACGTATGAGGTACTTTTTCCACGGAATAAACCGTTAGTTGACTAACATCACACTGACTATACAGGGTGGCCATTTGAAAACGAAACAGACCTCAGAACATTTACGAAAAAATCCTCGGACTCGTCAATTTTTTATTTAAGGGGGAACCATTTTTTTGCTAGGTTCTCCTCCCTGAGGGCAAAGTCATAGCGGGGGTGACAAGGGCCCCCAAATTTTAAATCGAATGGGTGGTCGAGTGATATCTTATTTTGAAGGTATTTTTATGTGGATTATAACCTTTAGGTTTTAAATCAATTTTACTTTATGTTGTTAAAGCTAAAATCAATGAAGTACTTGAATGTTGGCCTTCGACTTCCATACAATAATACAGGTTTTGTTCGAACCTTTCCTGTACATTTTAAAAAACTTCCGGAGAACGGAGGAAGCCATTCAATACCTCCTCTTCTTCCAATCCATTGTCCTGGAAACGTTTGGTCCAAATATTGACGAACCCTTGCAGCATAGTGGGGTGGCGCACCATCTTGCTGAAATACTAGACGATTTTCCAAGTACTCGTTGTTATTTTCTAATATCTTCATTGATGCTGGATGAATCGTATTTTCAAAAATTCCAGGTACATTTCTCCTGTTAAAAAGAAAGGGCCTACGATATGGTTACCAAAAATGCCAGCTCAAACATTCAATTTTTCGGGATGTTGTGTATGCACCTCACGAAATATTCTGGGATTTTAATCAGCCCAATGGCGACAGTTTTTTGTACGGATGAAACTTGTGTTTTTTAATATCTTCTGAATGCCGCTTCTAGTAATACCAGATACGGTTGCCAATTTCCCTGTGCTCAGTGTGGGATTTTGCACAATATGACCTGCAATAGCCACTTCTGAAGCTTCATTTAGGTACTACTGAGTTATCCATTTCACGTTTTCTATTAGCAGTTCTCCTTAATTTTTGAACCAATTCCAAAATATTACGATGGACCTGTCGATTTTGGTGTAAATAACTTTAAATCGCTATTTGTCACTACTATGATCTGACAACAGTAATTGACAATCACCATTGAACTTCAAAATGATGCTATAGTAATGCTCTCAGTCATATCCAAGAGTTCCGTTACAGAATTGGGATAGGTACCTAAGTATTAAATAGAAAAAAAACAACAACAAAAAATACGGTTCAGAATGTAAGAAAACAACATTTTTTGTATTTATTTTTTTTATTTAACTAATTCATTTACAAGCATTATTTTTCATAAGAAAATGTTGACACGTTTTTGTAACTTTTATTAGCCCCTGTATCGGCTAGGCAACTTAGTAGCGATTTAAAACTTAAGGGTTATAATCCACATAATCAAAATAAGGTATCACTCGACCCCCCATTCAATTTAAAAGTTTGGGGGCGCTAGTCACCCCCTCAAGGGGACGAAACTAGCAAAAAAATGGTCCCCCCTTGAATAAAAATTGACGGGTCCGAAGATTTTGTCGTAGATGTTTTGAGGTCCCCAAAATAGACTCTGTTTCGTTTTCAATTGGCTACCTTGTAATACTTCCATGAAAATACGTAAATAAAGACTTAATAAAACAATATAAAAGCATAACCGTGTGCACAAACAAACATGATCCAGGTAACGGTACTCAAAACAAAAGCTTGGAGCACCCCATGCTTTTATTGTAACGAAAGTGGTAAAGAAAGTGTATGCTGTGTTGCCTACAGTTAGGTATCAAATCTTTAAAATTTGTGTCAAACCATTGACTACAAAAAT